GGGGGTCCTGCTCACTGCTACACACCCAGCTAGCCACTCATCCCCACAAACCCCCTCCTGCCAACAGCCACACATACTCCTGCACTCTCCCCCACACCTCACATACATACACATCCACACCCTTCCACAATATACAAGAGTAAGACTTCATTTTGAGTTGTTATGCATTCATTTACACATATACAGCACAAATCAGGACAAAACTATTTTAAAAAAAAATTATTACGGATGTTTGATTGATTGATTTATTTATTTATTTTTAGTATTAAATTTGGGCGGGGTTTAATTTTTTTTTTTCTGGTTCCAAGATGGCAAACCACCTTCCCAAAAGGAGTACTTTCAGGAGCAAGGGGAGGGACTTCTGGTGGCAAAGGTCAGAGGTTAGGGACAGGACTTCCAGTCCCAAGACGATGACCAGGGGGTAGAGCGCTAGTCCAGGCATGGGGTGACCATTGTGGCCCTCAGCAGCTCACCAAAACTTGTTAAGCTGCCCGCCAGCTGAAATAATTGCCCACCCCCATCCTACAGTGTCCCTTTTTGTATAAGGATCTGCAATGTCTGTAATAGTTTTTTAAAGAACGTTGCCTATTGACTTCCTTAAGATGCAGTGAGTTGTTCCCATACACGATGCATACTATATTTTCTTGAGATGAATAAGCTTTTGACAGGCCCATTCTACCCAAGAACTAGTGTTTTGATAGACCTGTGTGAAGCAGTAAGAATTCGCTTTGGATTCGGATTTGGCCAGTTTGGAGGGACAGTGATTCGATTCAGTAATTCAAATCACTGTCCTGATTTGATTCGGTGCTGACTCAGAGAGGTATGAAGGAAAAGATTGTGTTGTCAGTAGAGCAAACTGTGAAAGGCTATGCAGGATTGTATTATTTTATATTATAAAATATAATTTATTTATTATAATAAATATTATTATTATTATTATTATTATTATTCACTTCTAATAAGATTCTCACCTGGCACAATCCCCTCCTCAATTTTACTATGATTTTCAGATGACCTGTAGCCATTGAAGCATGAGGGAAGACCACCTCCCCCCATGGCAAAAACTTCATGCAAACGCTGCTGGTCAGCTTCATTGTAAAGATTCATAGCCAGTCAGGAGGCAACAACATTTTTCCTTTTGTCTCACCACGGTGCCTGCAAAGCCTTGCTAGGCTGATTTGTTCCAGATGGGAAGCTGCCTGTCTAATTTGGGCTTTGCCTTGACTTGGCTGATGCAAGCTCCTCCTGCATCAGCTCATCCAGAATTAATTTGTTGATAAAATTGATGGTACCCAGACTGGACTGTCTGCAGCTATGGAGGTCTGGCAAAGCCTGAAGGGAGAAAAGCACCAGGATGTCCGAGTGCTAGCCAGTACCATGTACAACTCTGGCTATGTTGGGAGAATCTATGCTTTCTGTTTTCCTCTGTTTCCCGCTTCAGGTATGGACATATTTTTACTTGTGCGTGCTGCATTTCTCACTCTCCTGAGTGAGTATCAGCAAAGGTCCTCCCAAGCCAAGTGACTCCCTATGCTAGTTGTGGGTAAGGCACACCAGTTTCTGTAATTTGTCACGCACAAACGAGTGATGTGACCAACTTTCCATCCAGCTGCATTTGATTCCTCAGCCCGAATGATTAGCTATCCATTTATACCTAGGTCAGCTGGTGAAACGCCTGGATGCTTATCTTGCTGGGGTCATCTGACTTCCTGCCCTTTTGGCAGGGGGCTGGACCCAATGATCTTGTGAGGTCCCATCCAGCCCTAATGTCTATGAAACCTGAAAGAGGAACTTTTGACACTAGTCCTGTGGAAGGCTCAAATTCATGCCTCTGGAACTGCAGCAGGAGCTTGGCTGTTGCATGTCCTTCTGGCAACATCTGCAGACTTCTTTATTTTTGAGGGTGTGAAATGTGAGCACAGGAAATTTAATGTCTTGAGACCTAGAAGACAGTTCTGCTGGTTCATGTGTGGGTGGAAGGGGAATCTGCTGTTATTTCAAGTGTAATGATTTCTGCATTATATTTCTCAAGTGATGTCAAGGTCACCTAGGATCTTCGATGGACTATCTTTTTAAATTGCTCAGTAAAAATTCAAGGCAGGACGGGGAAACAGGCTGGCAAGGGAGCCTTTGTGAACTTTGATTTACAGTTAATGAAACACCCTGTCCATAAGGACAGTTCCTACAACAGCCATAAAACTAGGCTTTTGGAAGTCTTCATTGCATTCCCTAGTTATCTCTGTGATAACATTTGCTCCATCCATTGCTGTGGAGGCTCAGTTATCACAATCATAATGCATTTAGGGGATTTTTAACATTTTGGAATATCTGAGTTTTCCCTGGTGTCCCATTCAGAGTGCCTTTCTAATAGCTTGGAATATCAACAGGATTACACTGGGTAATCAACTGCTTTGCTGGTCTGGTACTCTGAGAGTGATGAATGTGGGGAGTACTGTGGGAACATTCCTTAATTCAGGCTGCATGTGAAAAGAATGTTTTCTTTTGCTGTTGCTCAAGTCCAGAAATGTTAACTGTCTGTCTCTCGGTACAGCAGGATTCAAGAGGAAGAATAGACTAAGCTAAGGTAGCCTTGTAGTTCTAGTTTTTTTTAAAAATGTTTTGCCAATGTTATGACTATATATCTCAGCCTTGTATAAGATTCTCTTTCCTTGGTACGAGTGCCCTATTGTGCAGTTAACATTTTTTCAAATTGACCAAGTTGCCCATCCTGAGGATCTTATTAGCTCTATTAGCTTTTGTTCCCCGCCCCTTCCATCCACCCCTGCTCTCAAATACATACTTCAGCTAATGTTGGTAAGTCGTGTAACAACAAAAAGACTTTGAAAGGAATATTTTAGATAAAAAGTAAATGTACAAAAACTAGGAAACTCCTAAAGCTGGCAAAGAGCACTGTTTTCCCTTCAGGTGCCCTACAGGTTTGAATTCTACAATAGGTGCTTTGGGTAGGTGGAAGGCAGCCTGAAGTTGGAGCCCTACACTCTGGAGCAGGAGCCACCTGGCTGCAGCTTCCCCTTCCCTGGAATGGGGTAGCAGGAGGAGGAGGAGGAGCTGCCAGAGGTGGGGTGGGGGGTGGTTAAGCAGCACCTGGGCAGCAGCAGCAAGAGCAGCCCTGACAGGGAGCTGTGTGCACTGGACGGTGCTGTCTGTGAGCATGGTGCAGTCTACTGTGGGCAGGAATAGGTGCAGGAGTAAGTCCACAGCACCTGGTATGGTGCAGGAGTAAGCCCACAGCACCTGGTATGCTGTGGGCTTAGCCACAGGCCAGATATAAATTGATGGGTTGGATCTGACCTGCAGGCTGTATTTTGCCCACCTCTGTTCTACCCACTGTGTTGTAACATCAGAGTTTTTGATAAATTGCAATATAAATTCAGCTTAATGATTTTAAAGTAACATCCTGGTATAGTAAGGAACAATGCTATTGTACTCCAGGAAATAAAACACATAGGTACCTGCATCAACTTTGCCTTGATAGTTTTGTTGTAGTGCTAAATTAATGGCAAAGTTAGCTTTGTCTGCTGGATTGCAGATGGCTACCAAATAAAAGGATTGAAGCTGTAGCTGTCAATACACTAAATTCACCATGTACTTTTTCAGAGGAGATTGTCTTTGCATACAGTAGCATCCAGATCTGCTCATTTGATCATGAGGAGGAAGAATGGGAACTAAGGGGACCCTCTTTCTCTTTTCTTACCACAACAAAATAAAGATGATCCCCTTCTGCAGCCTAGGCTGTCCTTAATTCAGTTCAGGCACTGGACAGTACTGAAGTGCCATATCCTGTTACAGATTTATGAGTGAGCCATGGGAGCCACACTACTTCCTAAACCCTTGCCCTTTGAAAAGTTTCATTCTGGTTGCATTGCCCCTGTGACTGATGTCTGAAGTATGTAGAAACCCAAGGAAGACTTGAGAAAGCTGGCAAGGATTCAGATGTTAGTCTCTTACTGTGACTTCTGTACCACAGTATGTCAGATATGAGGGGCTCTGACTGTAAATGAAGTCTTTGGGACAATACAGCAGTAGATCAGATTTGGGATCTCACTTTTCTCTTTGCTTAATTCAGTGTTCCTGTGTGTCTCTCACCATGAGTTTTTTAACAGTCTTCCTCTGTTTGTTTAATAGCCTGTAATGTAGCTCTTTCAGCCCCCTATTTTGGCATAGAGTAGCAGTCATGAGGAGGAAAAAATGGTTTGTATTTTTCAGGCCACTATGCTGCTGAACGCCGCTTCTGTGATTCTGTGGGCTTTCCAACCAGAAGGCCTGTTGCTTAAATGGTGATTAAATTAACTGCAAATAAAACCCCCCCCCACAAAAACCTACTTTTCTCCAACAAGCCCCTGCCCTCCCTCCCAATCGTGCTGCTTCCCTTTAGATCAAGAATTGTTTACCCCATATCTCCTGCAGGCATGGAAAGGCAGAGCTTCATTGGTTTAGGAGAAACGTACTGATTTACACCAATTGAAGGTCTGGCCCATACTCATTATGTCTCTGGCTTTAAGTTTTGAGTGAAAGGCATCTGTGTGTGTGGGAAGGGTGACTGGGCTCCAAGGAGATGTACCCTCCAAGGAGATGTACCCTAACTTCACAGTTAGGGCAGCTAGGAGCTGGAACCAACTTCCAAGGGAGGTGGTGCTGGCCCCTACCCTGGGGATCTTTAAGAAGAGGCTGGATACTTACCTGGCTGGACTCATTTGAGTCCCGTTTTTTTTTTTAGGGGGGTTTTTTTTTTTTTGGGTGGTTCTCCCGCCCTGGCGGGGGGTCGGGCTAGAAGATCTATTAGGTCCCTTCCGACCCTGAAACTATGAAACTCCCCACCCCCCTTGTGACCCTTGAGAAAATGGGCAGGAGTTATTGAGCAGGCAAGTGTTGTGGAACAAAGGTAATTTAGCCTTTTCATCTGGAAAGCTTGGTAGTGACTGCTGACTTATGTCCTGTTTCATCAGCACAATACCACAGTTCTAAATGACAGGGTTGCACATTATCTGCCTGACACTGTAGATGCTGGGCCAGTGAGGCAAAAGTCATCTGTTTCTCATTGGACTCTGCCTTTGGAAATTTTTCATGCTTATTTGTAACATTATTCTCTCTTTCTCTTCGCTGGAATGCACATGTGGTCCTTATCCCCAAACTTCAGCTTTTTTCCTTCTTCTTTTTTTTGCTGGTTAGCGATTTGTGACATGAGAGCTGTTAGAGGCATTAGTACTTTTACTCCAAATAGAAATGTTCATGGTTTTTGGAAACATACAGGAGGAAAATGCCTCTTATGTCTGTTCTTGGCAGAAATGGAGCTGTTGCTGCTCTGAGTGTGCACTGACCTCTCTCTGAGCAATTTGCCTGCAAGATAAATGTTTTGTTCCCACTCTTTTTCTTACAGCTGTTTTTGAATTGTCAGATTTTTGCTGACTTGTTTTACAATTTCTTTCTGTGCTCTCCAAACTACTGCTGAGCCTTTTTCTTTTTCTTTGTAGTGTGTCAATATAAGCTATTTTGGCCCTCCCTCGCTAAGTAAAGATATTAAAAAAGCCAGAGCTTGAATTGATTCAATCTTTGCAGGTTAGTCTAGTCTGCCTAGATTGAACAGGCAAGCAAGTGAACAGATATTTATTCACCTTTGATTTTGGAAATGCAGCCACATGCCTGCAGTGGCTCAGGCCACAAGCTGGGGAGTGCTAGAGTGAGCCCTCCCTTCCCTTCCACAGTGGCTGAGGGAAGCAGAGCTGGGGGTGGGGGCATGTGGCCAAACCCTGGCAGGCCTGAGGATGATTACGGGGTGGGTTTTAAAACCTCACCCTGGCCTGCAGGGAACCCAGCCATGATGTGTTTGGAGGGGGAGGGAGAAAGCAGCCCTCATCAGGCTTGGGCGGAAGGAAGGAAAGTGGCCAGACCCTGACCAGATGCAGCCCAGCATGGCCCCCTAAGGCAAGGGGGGCAGGGAAGGGAACTATTTCCCCCCTCCCTCCCTTCTTCCCTGGGACCTCAGCCGGGTTCTGCCTGGCCAGGGCACAGCAGCTTCTGTCAGGGTCCCTCTCCCCTCACGGGTCCAGGAGCAGGGGCATTGCAAGACATTGGCTGGCATGGCTTCCTAAGAATAAGGGGGCAGGGAGGGGGCTTATTCTCCCCTCCATCGCCTCTCCCCTCCAGGGGATCCTGGTCAGGACTGCTAGCCCCAGCTGCCACCTCTGCCATTCACCCCTGGGCAAGCAAACCCTGGCTGAGGTCCCTCAGGGAGAGAGAGGATGGAGGAAAAATAAATCCACTCCCTGCCCACTCTGCCTCAGGGTGGGACATACCCCCACAACTGCTCTAGCTAGAGAGCAGAGGGGCAGAGCCAGCCCTGCTCTCCGGACCAGAGAGCACAGGCCAGGCCAGGTTGAAAAGCATGCTGGAGGACTCTGGTTTAACGTAAACGAGGGTGGG